CCGGAGACGAGAACGCCATCCCACGGATCGAGAACACCATTCCCGGAGACAAGAACGCCATTCCCGGAGACGAGAATGCCATCCCACGGATCGAGAACACTATTCCCAGGATCATCGACAATTGAATTGTCAACTTACCCTCCAGAAGAAGGAACAACCTACCCTCCAAAAGAAGGAACAACCTACCCCCCAGAAGAAGGAACAACCTACCCTCCAAAAGAAGGAACAACACCTAAAAATCAAAACACAACTATAACACCTCAAAATCAAAACACAACTATATCATCTAGTTGTCCCTGCCTTTTCAATCCTTTATCAGTTGTACTCGTGCTCGCCGTTTTTCATATTGTATTTTGGTGAAATGCTATGAGTAACAGTTGTCCTGGACTCTGCATGTACATTCGACGAAAATTTACGTTGCAGCAATTGGGCAATACTTTATAAAAATATCCACGAATAAATTACCAATTATCATACTTCACAATTATGTTTCATTCAAAGTGCAATAATGTTTGCTGTGTCAATTCGGTACTGTAATAAATAAGGTGAAGGATATGTGCACCCTTGAAATATTTCGTTTCGGTTCCCTTCGAATAATGTCACAAATATGTATTTCATATTCCATTCCCATGATACCTTTATCACAAATTTTTCTTTTGGGGTATGAAACTTTGATACAGTATTTCTCAGTCATTCGTAAATCATCAAAAGAAGCAACTAATGAAATATTCACTTTTATCATAATTTCTAGTTCAGATAATTTTTATTGCAGAATTACTGTTGTCTTGTGAGCTTATCCTCTATAAACTTCAGTTGTACAAAACAGAAAACTGTACAGAAACGAACAGTAAAATTACAATTTCCTTCATTCATTAGTTACACATTCGAGTTAGAACAGCAATCAAAATTTAATACACACAATCGTTTCATTGACTTACTTTTCACAACGCCATCTTGAAATCGTTGCAATTACATGATGCAAACTTTCTGATGTCTCTTAAAAGTGCTTTCTAAAAGCCAGTGATATACCGTGACTGTGACCACAAATAAGTTGATCATCGGACGAGTAATCACAAATTTCACGAACCCCCAGCCGTAATTAACCAGTGTACTATGATTGTCGCAATGCAGGATCACAAAAATTCGGTTACGATGCGATACTACATAATAACTTCATAGTATC